CTTCATGCATGTAAATGAGCAACACTCTCATACTTAAGTTTCTGAAATGTTATTCTGAAATATTATTCGTTGCTTTATCTGCCTTGACGACTACCTTCCCTCAAATCTGATTGGCCGAATTCTTGCGCATTCGCTCTTTGCACACTCCCCCATAAGCATGCAGAGCCGGTTCAGTGATTCCCCTGTATACACGGGAATCACAGAACCGACTAAATTTATTGTGTAAAGTTGCCAGATCGAGGCTCTGCATGCTTATGGCGGAAAGGTGCAAAGGACGAATACGCGTAGATGCGCCCGAATAAGTTATGTGGGTGCGTAAATAATTAAATTATGATGACCCTGCTCAGTGGAAGTGCCATGGCCTAGTGGTCTGGACCACCGAATTCGTAGTCTGCGGATAATAGTGTAGGTTGTGGGTTCGAGCCCAGCCTGGGCATGACACTTCTATACCTAATATGGATAGAGGCATTATTAATGCCTTGCAGATTATATATCTTGTCTTTGTTTCAGTGTTAGGGGCGCATTCTTCCATACCTTCCTCTGTAGCCCACATAATATATGGAGGCATATTCAAAATGGGGTCTACCCGATTTCCCCAATGCATATATGTTCCCCAATACCTTTGTTACCCCAAAATGATCCTTAGGTTTAGGTTTAGGGTTAGGGTTAGATGGTAATGAGGCTTAGGGTTGGGTAACATATGCACCCATTAAAAAGACAGAGTCTTATAGGACCTATATACATGCCTTAAAAAAAACTGCACAAACAGAACTTACAACAGAAAGTAAGGGAAAGACAGAGAACGGGAAAAACTAACAAACAGCATACTATCAATGAATTATTGTAATAGGCTATCTTCTTTCTGAATAAATATTGCAGCCCAGATAACATTGAATTATCTGACGAACATGTGAAACGTCAGTTTAACCGTACATGTACATGTATGCATATATAAGGGTTATTTACCATCAAGTTCAAACATAACACACAAAAAGGGCGGACTATTCCAGGGTCAAAGGTCGCGCGCGGTATGAATTGCGCGAAGCAACAGGAATAGAAAAGCAAGTGTAAGATCGACGAAATTGAAAGCGTTTCGTAATTTGGAGGTTTTATTTAATCAATTATTGTGTTACGTGAAGAATATTTTCTTATGGATCATCTAAGTTAACAATAATTGGACGATTAACCGTTATTTTCATAGGATTTACCAGAATACGTGTGCACAGAATAGGCAACTGTGATTACACTCGTGATAAGATAATGGGTACATAAATACCACCATGACATAATATCGTTTAGTTCGCCGATCCGGAGGGTGCGTGTTCACAAATTGGGCTGGCAGATATATTTGGTTCTTCGATACAGGATAATAGGAAGTTGGAAGTTGGAAGATACAGGAGAATGGAAGTTGATGACCTTCGCACTCCCATCTTTCGTTCGGTGTTTTTTTTTCTTCATTAATTTAAGATAGCTCGCTGTCAACCTCGTGGAGCCGTATCATAAGTCCGACGCCTCATAGGTCCGACGCCTCATAAGTCCGAAATTTTGGAAGAAAGAGAATGAAGCTTAACGAAAGCTTGGTAAATTCAAAGCAAATATGTTTTTTTCCTAAGTATTCATTCACTCAGTGCTGTTTTATATTATCAGAATTTTAAAATGTGTGAGTGTCAACGATACTCCTGTTTCCACCATATTAACCAGAAAATAATGTAGTAAACTATGAAGCTGTTATTCAAATTATGTTAGGATCTTCCATACTATGCAACATTCACAACACAGCAATTAGCCGGCCCGGAGGGTGTGATTTCAAAATATATATTGTTAGTACTTGTCTTATTTTCTTGTACCATTCGACCGGTTTTTGCTTTCCGTTGTCTGTCCTTTTAAACATTCTATTCTGTTTATAGATCGAAATTGCGTCAGGGAAATGTGAATAACAATGAAACAAAGAGCTCAGAAAGGTTAAGGCCCCCCTCCTTCAACCCCCCCCCCCCCCCTCCTCCTCCACTTTTCGAATTTTCACTGCCGGTCCAGATCCGAAAAATTGTGTCCGGATCCCTCCTTAAAAGGTTCCGTGCGACGCTAGTTCGATTTCAGTGACATCGGTGCGTTCATTTTCCCTCGATTAAATACAGGCTCCTTGTAATTTTCAGGATATTTCGTGACCATTTTGCTTTGGAGAGGCGCTGGGGAGTGCGGACATGAATTCTTATGAGTACACAGCAATCAGTCACTAAATTAAATAAAGACATTTAATCTTCCAAAACTTTATTTTCAAAAGTGTGTCAAGTGTACCCTAAATTGTAAAATCATTATACTGGATGAGAAACAGCGCCCTCAGTTGGCCGGAAAATAATAAATCATTAATAATGGACCGGTGAATTCATAAGTAAAAATACTTTTATTGGTAATCAAAATGCAGGCTGTTTTTCCTTCTCCTTTTTTATCGTTTTTTTTGTGAGCAATCAAACTTTCATTTTTATCTTGCAGCGCGAATGAGTATACCTTGCTCACAAATCTCATTGTCACAGGCTTGCGCGCAGTGACGAATTTGCAGTGACACTTTTAATATTTTTTTTAAAATGTGTATAATGAAACAAACAAACAAACAAACAAACAACCAAACAAACAACCAAAATGCATTTAAAAAAAAGTTCAAAGAAAACATAAGAAACACAAACCTCGACGCATAACACGGCGGAGAAATCACTTTTAATAATGAAAAGTATTTTTGTCTCTCTTGTTTTTTAAAACCAATATACGATGTGGGGACATTTTATGACTTGTTTGTTTACACATTATCCAGAGCCACATCCAATAACTAGAGGGTAAGATAAACACGGCACCTCCAGTCTTGTTTACCTTCAAATCATATTCAATCCCGATGGCACTAAATACGTCCGTTGATGGACAAATTAAATTTCATCTCGACTAGATCAATAGGAAGCTTTGATGGAGCGTGGCCATTGATCCAGTAATTACATCGTTTTCTTCCCCTTTCTCTGTATTTTAATAATTGTTAAACTGTGAACCTAGACCTGTGAAAACAGGGAAATCCGATATGGGTGATATTATGTGTAAATAGCAATTAAATATTGACGGGGAACATCTTGCTACAAATGGGTATTTTCCCAGAGAGTGGATGTCGGACAAACCTCTGCAGTATAAACGTCTATCAATTTAACTCCTTCGGCTTGGCGTGTGCCCAATCCCCGACAGGTGAATTAAAACGATTTTACAATCATATTGGAAGACAAGGGCGAAAGTGAATCCCGTTTATCATAAAACCTTATGAGAGGTACTAGCTACAAGAGTGACTGTTTTAACAGTCACCAGGTATAATGCATTTTCTTTGAAAAGAGATTCCACCCTGGTCCCAGCCACACACACTTTCCCTTTCCCAATAGTATCGGATCGAATCTGTCTGCCACCCCTACCCCTCCAAACTGATGTTATTCTGGAAACATTTGCACTTATTTTAGCGTACCCAATTCACTGTCAACTATCGCACCGACAAGGGACCTTTTTCTTCGATCAAAACTCCCCTCCCCCCCCCCCCCCTCTCACCCACACCCACTTACGCCAAGCACCACTTCAAAGCTTCATCCCGTAATCCGCCGTATCTTTGACCGAGTCACGTGCGGAGCACGCCCCACGAACTAATTGCCCAATTGCCCGTTCATCGACACAATACATCAAGGAAGGGACGATAATTTTCAGCCATTCTTCCCGGCCTAACCCTCTGTGATTTCTCCCTTCTTTGACACAAATGGGGGAAAAGGAGAAACCATGTTTTGTTCGCGATCACTTTCCTTCTCCTCTCGGTAAATCGATCATCGCAGACTCATCTATAGTTGTGTAATAACACAAGCCGCATCAGAAAAAACAGCATCATTTGTTAAGACTAATTTCAAATTAATATATTCTTAACTGGGTCGTGTTAATTGGGGTGGAAGATGTTGGTCAGGGTTGTCGTGTCAGGTGGATGCAGTTTCATCGATGACATTGCATGACACGCTTGAATGATCAAAAGAAACGCAGACGAGAGAAAGAACATCGATTGAACAATATGTTTTGGATTTTCTAAGCTTGATTTGGTCTTTTAAAATGGTACGTTAAAAGTAAGCAACGACGAATCAACAAAGCCAGACGAGGCTCTAAACCTTCCTTGCGAAAGAGTTGCTTTGTATGTAACTATAACACAGAGCTTTTATTTATCTGAAAGAAAAATACGCTGAATTTGTATAATTGCGCTCTAAATGAGAAGGCTCTGACACGAATGTGAGAGCTAATTCAGCACATCAGCCCCTCGCATCTGTATAGTAGAAATGTGTATGTTATCCCTCAGTATCAGGAAACTGTCCTTATTTATGATGGGGGTACTGCTGCTTCACCAATTAAAAGGGTGGAGGAATGCTTGGCCAGATCGGTTCTCCTAGTTCGCGTAACCGAAGAATTGAACAATTCCCGTCACTAGTCACTTCCGGTACATCTCAGGAATGATTACATCAACTTCATAAGTGCATTTTTCTGGTACGGTTATCGAGAGGTCGTAGGTTCAAATTCCTCTCCCGTCCTTTTAATTCTCTTTGTTTGAACCGATAAGACAAAGGTTGAACTCAAGGCCAGAATTATTCCTGCAATTTGGGGCTCAATGTCTTGACGAATGTATTCATTTAATAAAGGTAAAAAGGTGTTGAAATCTAACAAGACCAATCTTATGTCAACATTCCCTCTTAATTTTGGTCAAAAATTGATCCGCTATACTTTAGCCCAAACATTATGCTTCATTGTTCTCAGACCGACACTAGAATGAGAGCGTCCAACCAATAGAAACTATGCCAACTTAGACGTTCGTATCATCCAATCAGAAATGTTTTTGTCTGTGATGTCACACACGCAACTGACCAATCAAGATTCACCGTCGTTGAAGGGGTGATCTCCAACCTCCGTGTACATGTAGATCCATCTATCACCCGTCCCTCTTCCCGCAGAAGCCCGTCTCGATGCGCTACTACTGAATAATTAATTACCTCTGGGTAGGTTTTTACTGCGTGCATCGAGTTCGATTTTTTTTCCCTCGGGAGGAGGGGAAAATAAATAGAACGAATTGATAGGATTAGAGTTTCAGACAGGCGATTAACGCCTTGCTGTCATTCAGGGAGCTGTGTTAGACCACTTAAATACCGGGGCGTAATTCGCTCTAAGCCTCACTGATGTGTCGGCCACTTTCTGGGCATTACGTGAGTTGAGACTGGTCTCATCCTTGAGGTCCTAAACAAGATTTCTGTCGATCTTGCTAATAAGCTTTGAGGGATCTTCCTACCCCAGTAGTCTTTTAGTTGGAAGGAAAAGTGATTGAGTGTTGTGATTCTTGAGGTCGTTTGGCTCAACGGCGACTGCAACAAGTTCAGACTTGAATCAACAGGTGTCTACTATCATGTTGAGTCCGGAGGCGTACCCCACGCTGTACCCCTTCTCGCCCCCTGTTTGGCCCGGTGCTGTCCTGTCTCAGCTTCCCTACCGTGCCATGATACTCACCCATCCTCACGCGTACACAACGTCGTCTAAACGACACCGTCATCGAGGTCAGCGCCGAAACAGGCCGTCATCGTTCACCATCGATGCCATCTTGGGTCTTCGAGAGGAGGACACAGACACGAAGCACTACGAGGGAGCGGTCGACGAGCCCGACCTCCGCCGGCAATTGGCCACATCGGACGGCATCAAAGTACCGAGCCTCCACCGCTCGCTGCCTGCCGCTCATATCGCTCTCTATCCGGGATCGACGTACTTTGCTCCGCCGCTTTCAGGTGGCCGAACCATCTTGAGATCTGACGAATTTGGCGAGAAAGTAAAGGACTTCAACTTTTTGGAACCGTTTAAAGCAACCGACAGCGACCGAAAAATAAAAGGTAAATATATTCTATTTTCTATATTAGCACAACAGCAAATTATGTTTGTACATGTATACTAAGAACCACAAGAGTGCCTTCTGAGGGATGTAGAGGGTGGCTCCTCCTTCCCCTCCTTTTCATCTGACGGATGCTATTTACTAAAATATACTGGTACATTGTGTATCGATTTTATCACTTCAGACCCCACCCCTTCAAAAACATTAGGCCTATATTCCAATTTGCATGTGATTTTTTTTCAGCACAGTTTGCGATCGTGCGTAAGTTGCATTTAAATTTGGCAAAACAAATATTTCTGTCAGTAGCGAAACAAAATACTTCCGCCTTTCTGAAATCCTTCTTTGTTGATGACTTAAACTGTTTTTCTTTGATCGCTATTCCATTTCATCTTTACCCCCCAAAAAGTTGTTTAATGTCCGGTACAACTTTAACTCCTTGCACAAAATATTGACAGTTACATTAATCAAAAACCAGGGAGCTATTCAATATCCCACCCAGTTTTCAGTATCCTGTGAGTATTTTGGGAGATAATCTTTTCGACCATTTTTCATCAAACTGACGTTGTGAGTTTCCTTCGCCTTAATGTAAACCCCCCCCCCCCCTAATCTTCACCCTGTATGGATGTCATCCGTTAAGCTGCATAGTAGCCTGATCCATCCAGACCCTCCCAACCTCAATTTTCGATCGTCAATTTATAACCATCACCGACTTACTAATGGGTCTCCATTTAACAACCTGACGTTAGGCATGATTAATTGCTCTCTCTGACAGAACCCAGTCGCTAAGCCCTCCCAAACTTCTCGCCACGGCACTTCATTAACTTTGTTAATTACAATTCAGAAATCCGACAGTGAGCTTCGCCCGTACCACTTTGGTTCCGCGTTTAGTCCGGACCGCCCGTCATCCAATCCGATTTCACGGCCCGCCACTCCCCGTCAAAAGCTCCCCAAAACGTCCGTTTTGTCGCGTATTGATCAGCAAGCCCAAAATGCATTAATTAAAGAAAATACTGCCAACTCTGACGGGGGCCTGTCAGTGGGCTGAATAGACGGTTGTTTGTATTCAATTATGAGCGAAGAATAACATGAATGAAGGGGGATGACAGCACATTAGGGAACTTTTTTGAGAGAGTTTGGCAGCTTCCGTCCCAACTGTCGGCCGATACAAAGGAGGGGTGTGAAGACGGGCCCGTGGGGACCTACAGAGGGGCTTGGAGATGTGTCTAAAAGGGTTATATCTTATAAGACGGGCTGATGGGTATTGACAATGCATACACCCATGAGGGATCGAATTAATCAAGGGACTGTTCATTTTGGACAAGAAGCCTTCCTCGCCCGTTGAGCCTCCCTAAAAATTGGAAAAGATGAGGAAGCAACAATTTCCTTAGAATGAATCTGAGATGGGCAACATTTTGTTCCCGCTGTAAAAGTTTCATTTCGGATGGAGTGACAGATTTGTGGTTACGCCAAAATTGAATCTGCCTTGAATATTGTCTCACTTTTGGGGTCTAAAGCAGTCTTTGCGAAGCTTATATAGGACACCGCCTCTGGTTTCGATATTTTATGGAAATATCGATAAGAAATTTATTTTATTTACTCCTCGATCACATATTTTGTTGAAAGCTGGGGTTTTATTTCACACCTCGCTCAGCTCAGACAGGGCCTTTGAAACTTGCTACTAAAACTCTCAGGGTTGAAAATATTGTTCAACTCCTTGCCCAACGTTGGTCAAAATTTGCCAATAAGTTTTTGCAAAGTCTTCCCAAATTTTACTGAAATTATCCAACAATCTAGGTCATTTCATGCAGTTTGTCGGATAGAATGTAAAACTGCCCAGTATTTTTTTAAACACACTTTCTATCTTTTTTATATTACTCAACAGACAGACACGAGATGTGTCCCGGCATGGAGCGAGCGGTTCCCCCTGATATGGACTGGCGCTCGGAGGTACCCGAGCTGACCAGCAAACCCAAGCGGGTACGGACCATCTTTACCCAGGAACAGTTGGACCGGCTGGAGACTGAGTTTGCCCGGCAGCAGTACATGGTTGGCACGGAGAGACTGTACCTGGCAGCGCAGCTCGACCTGTCTGAATCGCAGGTGGGTTGGCCTGGAAGTTTGGCTGGGTCTTTTTGTCGTTTGACCCAACCAAGTCTGTTCTGAGCCTCTATGGCTGTGGATCGCCTCATCAGGCTGGCATTAAACTCTGGATGGCATGAAACGAATGAGAAGTTTTCTATTTCCCCCCTTGATGGGATCATGAACTATCCTATAGTTTAATGCCTGAATCCAATTATACCCCTGGGTGGAGAGAGGCAATTTGGAGTGAAGTGGCTTGCCCAAGGACACAACATATGACCAGCAGCAGGATTCGAACCCCCTGATTACGAGTCACAAACCCTAAGCACTTGGTTACACTCCCCCTTTGATGCTGACTGATTGTGGTGGTTATCATTGACGGTTAGTGTGATCGGCAGTGGAAAGCCTGTTCATTCAAAATACGAAGCTAACTTGGAGCCGTGAAATGCTATTCGACATCACGACAATTACTGCCACCCTAAATACAGTCAACTTCAGTCAATGAAAACCTGTACTCATTTTCTCTCGAAAAACCAAAGTATTAGTTTAAAAAATCAGCCCTCCTCTCGATCCTTCCATGTCTTTAATATCAATCCATAAATAAGCGACTAAATATTCACTGACTGACCTGTTTTATTTGTTCTTCTCTCCCCAAAAGGTCAAAGTGTGGTTCCAGAACCGACGCATCAAGTGGCGCAAGCAGAATCTGGAGAGCCAACAGGAGAAGCTTGCCCAGTACCGCGCCATGCGGGAGAAAGAGAGACAGGCCCGCGCCCAAGACAAGGACGATCAACTAGCGGAGACAAGGACAACGGATGACGTCACTGATGACGTCACTGATGAGGACAAGACCAGCCGAGATGAGGGCGTGGCCTTCATGACAGCAGAGGATTCTACATCCATTTGTAGTGCCAAGTCGTCTGTCGGTATCCCAGCTCCAGACCCAGTGTGAAGCCAAGTGTCGCTACAGCAACAGACATTATTATTTGGATCTTTACATCCTGCAGTATGGACAATGATAAGAATTATAGAATTATTGTCGGGTCAAAAATATTTCGAAACTGTAAAAATATTTATATATATATATATATATCCCATAACCAAACGTGGGCCGATCTTTTTCGTTCGATGTCTCATTTAAAAGTGAATAATTTTTGTATTGCTTGACAACAGCAATTTACAACAAAAAAATCCTCTTTTTTTTAATATTTCAAAAAATTTATTTCATTAATTTCAAGCCAAGGGGCATAAATTATGAATGGTGTATGTAATGACTCTCCACCACCATTGCATTAAATTATTGTATATAGACAACAGATGTAATTAATATTATTACCCCGATGGTTTTTCCCTCGATCATTACATTAAAGTAAATTTAGTAATCCAGGTCTCTCAATGGTATCTCATTCAGACAATAAACATCTTTTCAATGTTTAAATGTAGAATATTAAATATACAACATTTTGTTTTCTTTGGGTCAGCAAAGCCAACACAGAATAATTTTGGAATCAGCCAATTTTTGTGAGCTTGACCATTTTTTGGTCAAAGAGGTCTATTTAAGTGTTTTTGATTCACACCAATTTCATTGAATGCCTATAAATTATGAGATAACGCCAACTCACACAGAGCCCGTCTGGTGAAAACAACTCCATCCGCTAATCAGAGGAAACGAATTGATTTACCCTCGCCTAATTATTATCAGTCAAAGTATCAGTCTTTCAATTAAAGTGCGTGTGAAATGGAGCACCCTTCGTGAGAGACAATATTTTGGACAAACAGGCGGCCGAGATCGATCTCCGAGGAAGACGGATCAACAGGCGGACCGCTGGCAGGGACGGCACGGGGCCGATCGGCCTACGAGCCCCATCGATTTTTCTTCCCACACACGCGCCAAACGCGCGACACTGCTTGCGCTCGCACGCAAGTTCAAACAATTTTTTTTACCTGCTTGTCAACATTTAGTTTTTTTAGTGAAAAGCACTATTACTCGACCTTAATAATAGATGTAAGACAAATTTGGGGAATTTGTGTAAAATCGAATGGTGAGACCAATTAAGCGGCGGTGAGCGGCGAGTTGTCATCGCAAGAGTTGTCTGTGGTTGATTTGACAGTTGATGAACTTATTATCAAACTAGGTGCTTCGAGGTTATTGTCAAAGAACTGATCAAAGGTATAGGTTTACCAGGACCAAGGTTTTATAGGGTGAGCAACGGAAATGTCCATATATGCCGGGAAATTGACTCAATTTCAATTGATTAAATATTCCAGTTTCGTCCAAATTTCAAAGATTCACTTTTTTCTATCCAAATTGACTCAATTTCAATTGATTAAATATTCCAGTTTCGTCCAAATTTCAAAGATTCACTTTTTTCTATCACATGACTATGTGTTTATTGTGGAACTCGGGTAGCCCTGCATGATAGAATGGTAGCAGTTTGGTGTGTGTGTGTGTGTGTTTTTTTTTTTTTTACAGTAGGAGCGACATCTTGTCAGCATTGGACAGGGGGGGGGGGGGGGATGGGGGGGGTGCTAAAAAAAAACGGGGGGTGGACGTCAAATGAATCTAGGGGGCGCTGTTGATTCATGTACTGTTGAATTTGCTGGGGCCGGGGAAAAAGTGAAGAAATACCACATAGCGCTGTTACACACAGGGGGAAATATTGTGTAGTTTGAGGTAATTCAACAGACCTTATGCGTAGCAGCCATCTTAGAGGCCAATGCCTTTGTTTTGCTTGGATGTGCATGAGTGAACCTTTTGTACAAATATTGTTACTAAATAAAAATAACAAAAGATGCTCTCTAAGCTAGCGGCGCGGCCCACCGCAAAATGTCCATTTCTGGCAGTTGCGACATTGATTGGTAGTGTACGGGTATTTGAAGAAAAATATAATGAGGTCCATGTTTAAGGGTCAATGGGAAAACAATCAAAACAAATAATAACCTTTTCTGCAAAGTCTTCGGTAAAGCAAAACTCTTCACACCAATAATGCTTTCCGGATAAAAAAAAAAAAAAAAGGGATTTGTGTTGTTTCGGACTACTCAATCAATTTGCCGCCCTCTCTCGTTCCACATGTATTAATTTGCATGACAGTAGCGTAGCAACCGGCAACAATAATCACAGCCGAGGTGTGTGCATTTCATGCGCACTGAAAGAAATAATTCTAATAACAATTTTTATTGGACAAATATCGAAGGTATTCATTAATATGCAATTTAAATGTGACTTATTGTAACTTCTGTCTGTTTAAAATAATTTGTTGTTCTAAAAAGAATCGCAATTATTGTCTGGAGAAGCTGAGCGGATGAATAAGTAAAGGAATTCCGTAGTATGTAGTTCCCTCATCTGAAAAGAAAATCAAAATGGCGACGAAGATGTCGTTTGGAAATCCTTTCCAGCAGAATAAAGTCGGCGCTGGCGCTGCAAGTGGGCAAGCCAGCGCCGATGTGACGCCAGAACTACACTTAAAAATGTCTAAGAAAATCGCTCAACTCACAAAGGTAAGCACTTTTTTATTCCAGCAATTGTTGTGTCGTTTGTCATCATGTTTAAGATTCATCGCCTGCACAGAGTTGTTTTCGTTCGTCTGCAAAAAGTAATCAACGTGATAAGTCGTCTATTTCCGACAGCTGGATCACTTGCAAAGGGTGGCGATTGTGTATCTACGGGCCCGGTTCCTATGAAAGTATGAGGGAACAAAATCCATTTTTAAATTATTTATCCTACCAAACTAGTTAGCGACATTAAGAACATACAGCCTTACAGGTATGTCATAAAGGGCAGGGTTTCGAATTTTTTAGGGAAATTTGGTGGTAAAATGACGTACTCCTAGAACTATGAGGCTCCACGTAGTGGAGCCTCATAGAGTCAGAAGCCCGCAAAATTGTTGTCAACACAAAACACTAATTAAGTACAAAAACGTCCATTCCAAATAAGCTATTTCCCACAGAACCGCTGCACAGTTTGCCCCTAAACTCCGTACAATACCTCATGACATACTCACGTTATGTGCACCCAACAAACATCGGTGGATTCTGTCTGTTTTTAGGCCAAAATGATGAAAAATATGCCCTTTCCGCACTGAGCCAACCTAACACTTGAAGCGAGCACGCGCGCTGATATCGCAGTCATTTTCGGGTTCGATCGCTCGGAGCGCGCCGCGGGGGGTACGTACTTGCACTTGTACGTATGCGCATACTATCAATCCGCTCCTACACCATACCCCCCGCGGCGCGCTCCGAGCGATCGAACCCGAAAATGACTGCGATATCAGCGCGCGTGCTCGCTTCAAGTGTTAGGTTGGCTCAGTGCGGAAAGGGCATATTTTTCATCATTTTGGCCTAAAAACAGACAGAATCCACCGATGTTTGTTGGGTGCACATAACGTGAGTATGTCATGAGGTATTGTACGGAGTTTAGGGGCAAACTGTGCAGCGGTTCTGTGGGAAATAGCTTATTTGGAATGGACGTTTTTGTACTTAATTAGTGTTTTGTGTTGACAACAATTTTGCGGGCTTCTGACTCTATGAGGCTCCACTACGTGGAGCCTCATAGTTCTAGGAGTAAAAATGACGATGACAACGACAAAACGCAACACGAAAATAAAGATGGTGATCACCGCGCGATGTACGTACCGTGAGCACGCAAGTCGCACTGCACGGCACCAATCGGCCCATAAACTGCGCAGGAAAATTGTAATTTCTACCCCAAGAAACTGTTCAAAAATAACCAAAAAGGTATCATTACATTGAGAGAAGTGTGCTTTAGGTTGACAATGTCATTTTTTAGTATTATAGTAATAAAAAAAAATTCTTGATTCTAATTTGATCGAAACAAAATAGGGGCCCTACACTACACAATCGCCATCTGTGTCTCCCATCCTGGCATCTTCCGTACATTGTTGAAAAAATGAACATAAGTTAATAAAAGGCATCGGATTGCAAAAAAAAAATGTCCTCAAATTTGTGAGGCCCTAATTGGTAATGGAAATCATGATTAAAATGCTTCAATTTTAATACAACTCACTTTATTCATTTATTTTCCAATATTCAGGACTTTAAAGTTGGCATAGCTAGGTGTCTGGTGAAGGTCTGTTTTTTATTGAGCAGGTCTGAGACTTAGGCCTATCATTTCTGTTCCGTATTATGATTATCACAAATTGGGGAAAGAATGTTGCAACATGACGCTACTTCAGCGGTTGTGTACAAAGTCTATGGAGGGTGACGATCATTTTTTGCAATGACTGACCTTCATCGAGATGATATATGAAGAATAAAGCAGGGTCAGGGAGCAACATTCTTTCCCTAATTGGAAAGCACAGATTCCAAGCAAAATTTGAACAGTTCATAATATTTTTATGTTTGATGAGCTTGAAAATGCAAAATTTAATTTCTTTTTACCATCAAAAATGCAATATGATCAGTTCTTGCACGTTTCTGGCCTGTCAACACTGTATTAATGAATGGCAATTAAATATCTCCATTTGCAGGTTATCTATGCATTGAACACTAAGAATGATGAGCATGAGGCTGTCGTCCAAAACCTGAAAGAAACACACGAGGAGGAACTCCAGCAGCTAGTCACACGGACAAAAGACAAGATTGCATCTTACCAGAGCCGGATAGGCCAAGAGGCAGAACTCCGACAGAAGATCCAGTCTCTAGAAACCACCATCAAGGAGGAAGAAAAACACAAACATGAGGCATTGGCAGAGTTTACAGAATTCAAACGCAAGGAAGAGCAGAGACAAGCTAGCCTAAAGGCGGACCACTCCCAAACCGTGCTGGGTCTGTCGCAGGACTTGCTTGCCATTAAGAGGAACTTTGAAGACCGGCTGCAGCAGTTCGAGGACACCAAACGCCGCGGAGAGTTGGAAAGGACAAATGCCCTGACAGAGTTGCGGCGTGCGCACACCGAGGAGGTAGAAACATTGAAAAAGCAGCTGCAGTCCGAGCACTCAGGACTCACCAAGGAGAGGCAGGAACTCATCGAGCAGTACGAATCTGAAATAAAGAATCTGTACAATCAAAACAACGAGTTGAAGAACGAGAAGAGACAGACGGTGGAAGACTACGAGGCCAAGCTGAGTAAGGCTCAGGCCTTCTACGAGAGGGAACTAGCGGCACTCAGGGATGGAGAGCTACGGAAAAACGTTGAGGAGTGGAAAGAGCGAGAAGCTGCCCTGAGGAGGCAAACGGCAGAGAAGCAGCACGAGCTGGAGACACAGATTGAGAATGTGTCTATGCAACTGGCTGTGTGTGAGGAAGACCTGGAGTGCTATAAAGACAAGTTAACGAAAGCGCAGAGCGAGCTTGCAGCCAGGGAAAGTGATTCGGGCAGTTTAAGTAAACAGGTAAGCAGATTGATCTGTAGCACATGCCAATCCAGGCATGGATGCGCTGTACACTTATGGAGGCCCCCACTAATGGTGGAAGCATTATGCTATCCATTGTTCAGAATAAGTGTCATTCTGGGTGGGAAGGGAGAGGGGACAGCTAGCTCTGTTAGTGTACAATAATGCCATACCCGGATTGGTAGTTAATACAGTCAGATGAAGATTGGTTTATGCTTGACCAGTTTGTGAAAAGAATTCCAGATAGTGAAACAATTACTACTAATATTTGTCAAATTGCAGATCAGAAAATAAACTTTTTGTGTGAATGCTCTGCACAATGGCCGAAAATGTCCCACATTGAAAACTAACATCATTATGCTAAAATGTACAAAACATTCTCTGTAAATAGGTGAGTTTGACTAGTGATGGAGGAATCCCTCAGAATGCCGAATTGTAAATCAGATTTAAGCCGATTATAACTGCCTCGTATAATAGGATAGTTTGAGAAATATTCAAGAAAATTGACCAACTTAATGGCAGCGTTGACAAGCAGTGCAGCTCAGAGATTAAAGCTGGCAGACTAACAGCATTTCTGTAGAAAAGAAACAGATCGTCAATGCCAAAAGGCTCAACGTAGAATACAGCTGGAGTGGGCTTAAGGCCTGGCTTTCTGTCCACAAGAAAAGGAGGGCAAAGTACAGGGGTGCATTCATGCATAGACTGATGGCAAAGTCAGCTGAAATCCCTGTGCTCACTTTATCTGATACGATTCATGTACCTCCCTAGATGGTACATGTACATGGTTGCATTTCAAGATGTTTTACCTTGGTTCACAGGGTTATTTTAATTCTAAATCGGCATTTCGCTAGGAAGTTTCTTGAAGACTTGTAGACCTGTTCAAATGACCCCTAAATCTTTTCTAAGTGCATGCATAATTTTAATTGATGATAAGAAAGTTACCTTATTCGGTAATTATTCAGTCACTTATATGCTTTGGAAAATGTCATTTAAGTAAAGAAGTGTAAGTATAATCACCAAAATAAACTTTTCAAAAAATGAAATAATAAAAAATATACCCAAATATTGGAACAAATATATTACACGACAGGTATTAAAGATTTATGCAAATTAGGCATGTTTCCACTCAAAATCCAGCTTGGTAACCATCGTTTTTGGATTCAGCACCCTGAAATTAAATGAAACAGCTATGTTACCAACTTCTACTAAAAAAATGCCTCTTCTTGCCCTAAATGAGCCCTTTTATTTAAATATTGCCTAGACTATTAAGTCTGGGCTCTGAAAAAAGGTTTATAAAAAAAACCGGAGCTTACAAGTTTCGTAAAATACTACTTTTTTTTTGTTCATGCACAAAAAGATTCTGAACACATCAAGGTTGTGCTGCCTCTGTTCCGTTGCCTTTCAAGTTGGGCACACAGAAAAAAAATCTTTGTCAACCACTGAAAAGTCCAGGGAAGATTTACCCTTCCTTCACAGCAAATACAGATAAAGCAGACACTGAGAGTGTCTTGAGCATCAGTGGGGCGGATTAGGGCTTACTCCCAAGAGTAGCCTGGAGCCAACTGAAGAATGATCTTTGTTGAAGCTCTTAGACCCTCCACAGGCTTAGCATAACACTTCTCTTTCTTCATGCAAATTTGCAAAGCAAAAAGTCTGTCCCCTTTTGAGAGTGTTCTAAAGTACCAATATGTGAGCTGCAGATACAAAGTTGCAATGCACATGTACTTAAGGTGCTAACTATGCATCCTGCCACGCCCATTTCCACAACAGCAGTACAAAATACAAGAAAAGGCTAAAACTTATTTTTTTTCCAGAATTTCCAGTATTCATAACATTGAATTTTTTTTTTCATGAATGTGTTTAATATATTTTTTTACCTAAAACTATAGAGATTGGCTGTGTGTTTGTGGTCACATTTGTACCTTGTTTCTTTAAGTTTCTTTTCTTTTTTAAATTGAAAATTGTTTTCCATTCTAGTTAAACAAATTCAGCCCAACATATATGAATATATATTTTTTATAAAAAAAATTCTACAAATTGTGTAGCATAAGAAAAATAAAACAATTTTATCAAGTGTCACTGAAAAGCGAAATCAATTTCTATGGATCTCTAGACAACTGTGAACCACAAAATTAATGTTCATACATCCCAATGCATGATTCCAATTCACATTTTCCAAGCCAGAAAGCTCCAGCACAAAATGTCAATTTCAAGCGTCATAAATTCCAAGTACATCTCCAGCATATAAGCCTGCTGTGATGAAATAAATCACTGAGTGAGTTAGGTGATAAATTTAGCAATTCTGTTTGCTAACTGGCACTGAAAAATGTGGCGCATGTGTCTGGCTTTAGCCTCTGGCCTTATGGCATTCAGCGTTAAACACGCTACAGCTTTCTTTCTTTTCAAGTAGCTATCAGCAGATGATTGATTCAAGCCAACGTAATATCTTCAAGAATGTTTCCATTAGGTTGTTATCAGATAATAACCATAGACAACACCCTAATGCATTTAAAAGGAGTTTTGTACAGTATATTTAATATCCATTTTGTTAATAGTTCAACATATTTAGAATACCTTTAGGGAGAGCTTTATTGTATATGTAGGCTGAGAACAAATTAACAGAATTCCAGTAAGTGACAAATACAAGAAATTAAAAGTAAAACATTGAATTCAGTATGGATCTGTAAAATTGATAATACATGTAATGATTCAGTCTATGAAAACTAAATGCATTTACACTTGCTTCCATCATTGTGGTTTTTTTTTATTATTATTCATTTTTTGCACCGAAACTTTGATAACTATGTTTGTCATGCACTTCTAGATTTTTCAAACACATTTTCTTACATTAGATCATGATTTCAGTGAGTATACATTGTAGTACAGTTTAGCTAGGTGCAGACAAATAATTCATAACCCATTTTTTTTTCACCAGTACTAAAATGCTACATGTCTTGCCAAACCAAAAAAAACATTAAGTGTCCGCGTGTAGTCATGGTAAAAAGTAGTAATTGATAGTTTTGGGTTTTTTTCTCATTTTTTTCAAGCGAAAATAAGTGTAGGGGCTGTGAAAATAAGGTAGGTAGGGTATTAAACCGGAAGCAAAAATATGTTTTTTGCCTTATCATGTCACGCCTATTACATATTATTGTCCTGTGTTCTTCCTTTTGCAGCTTGTTGAAGCCAAGCAAGATTCTAGCCAAGCCATCACCAGGCTGAAGCAGGTGGAGGGAGAGCTAGCTGCCTCCAGAGAACGATGCCAAGACCAAGCCACAGATCTCATTAAAAAATCCAGTAAGCCACTCCAAAAATTTGAAGACATTTTTTCTATCCCGGCCTAGCTTTTCCCTTCTATCTGTAGCAGCCCACATCTCTGAGTAACCGTCAAAGTGTAACTGAGTGGTTAAAAAAAACCTTTGAGATGGATAATTTTGAGGTTGAATAATGGAATGGATGTATTACAAAGCAATTTGGAATTCATAGTATTGTAAAGGACTGTCCAAATGCTTTTGAGAAGAAATCACAAACTTAATCAGATGGGACTCGAACCAAAAACTTCCTACTTACTAGTGCAGTCATCTTAACTACTTGACGACCATGCTTACAGGAGTAGGCTTGCTGGTTCCAATCTAGCAGCGAACACGTTATCAATATCTAGTAGATACAATTTTGCATCCGAGGGTATACAATTTAAAATTGGGTTTTGCTCTCTACTGACGTAATTCTAGTAGCACTGTTGACTAAATGCTGTCTGCGAGCTTGACACTTTTTCCATGTCTGCCCTTGTCAGGTCAGATAGGGACTCTAGAAGCCACCCGCCTGAGCAATGAGTCCACCATGAAGGACCTCCGCTCATCTCTTGCCAAACTGGAGGACAAACTCCAGTGGATGGGGAAGGAGAGAGACAGCCTGGAGAACAGCAAGAGGAGTCTCTCCGATAAGCAACACGGCCAGCTCAAGTCACTGGAAAAGGTAAGATAGTTTTATCAAAGGCAAAGTCTTCCTGTAATGCAAGTCTTGAAAAAAGTCTAGAAGTAAATCTAGTACCGTCAACATGCCTGAAAGATTCAGACAACTCATTTTCTTCTTCAGATTTTAAGTCATTCATCTCTTTTCCTAGGCTTTGGAAGAGCTATCCATCGAGAAGCAAGTGATGAAGGAACGATACGAGAAGGAGTTAGAATCCACCAAGACAAGCAGTAAGGAGGAGAGAGACAGACTGACCAGAGACCACGAGGCACTGATCAGGAAGATACAGGGTGAACACAAGGAGGCCAGGGAGTTAGCTGCCAGGACAGCGGCACAAGATCTTGCCAGTTTAAGACAGGTCAGTGGCTATCAGGATTTCCCTCAAGATGTAGGGACAATGTAATGGTGGCTTCCGACAGTTACAGGTGGGAGATGTTTTCTGAAAACAAGTCCAGGGGCTATGGTCGTGTCTAGATTACTTGGCTGTGGCTGGGAGTAACCCACTTGTCTATGGGAAGGAAGCAGCCGCTTCCATAGAAGCATGTGTAATTACTAGCCGTTGCCAAGAAGCTAAGATTCAGCCTAATTTATCCTGACTGTATTTCGCCCACTAGGAGTTGGAGAGGAACCTAGAAGAGACCACCCAGCGCCTGTCCCAGCAGTGTGATGCCGTCCAGTCCCAACTGGACCAGACCAGAGAGGAACTCACCAACCGCTTACAGTCAGCCGAGGCAGAGTGCCAACGCCTGCAGGCCATCCTGGATGAGAACAAGCAAGGCCTTGGCTCAGCCAACTCGGAGATCGGTAGCCTGTCTCAGGCCAACGTGGGACTGAAGGCTGAGCTGGATGGGATACAGAAGGAGCTAAGGGAAGCTAAGAATATGGGGCTCATGTACCGGGTGAGTGGTCCTCAAGCTCAAATGACCATCTAGGCAAAATTTCACGGAACTGCTTAGTGCAGAAATACGCTAAGCATAGAAAATATTTGCTTAGCAAAATCAGGTTACCAGCCAAAAACTCATGCAATGTATATGACCTGTGACTGGTACTCAGCTGATTTTTGCTAAGCGTATAAATTTGATAAGCGGCATTTTGTGTTTAGATCTTTTTCAAATTATTTGGACAGTCATGGATTGTTTTTATTTCCATTATTCCAGACGGAACTGGACAGATTAAAACAAACGCATGAGAGCAAGATGGCAGAAGCTAAAGAGGAACTGAAGACCAAACTGGACCGGTTGTCAAAGGATCTTGACCAACGCTGGACAGAAACACTGCGGTAAATTTTACAAACTTGTTTTCTTCTATCTACCTACTGTATTGGTTTGATTAGAATAATAACAGAGAGAAAAAAAATCAAATATCTTAATTTTAATCCATTCCAAAAGAATGAAAATCTAAGTTGTTTTCTGTATTTTGTCAACCTTTCAGGCTCTGAAATTTGTATCTTTGATGTAATTTTGGACTACACAACATACTTCTCATGATCCCATTTAAATGAGACATAATATAAACTGGCATGGTACTTAAACAGTTTTGTAAAAACAGAAAAATACGGGGGAAAAATAGAATCTGCACAATAGTCATACTGAATAGAGGACTTAAAAAAATTTGCTTAAATTTGACCAAGACTTGAATGAATTCAGAAAACCACTATTTGAACCTGATCCTCCTGTCCATACACTGGTGGAAAGATGTGACAAGCAGAACTTAGAAAAACCAATTCTATTTCACTGGTTGGATTCGAATCAAACCCTACAGGACTTGAACCTGTTCAGGTTACCCATCGTTAAATCTGACATTCCTATCCACTCTCTACAGGAGAGAATGTGACAAGCTACAGAGCGAGTTGACAGAGCAGCACAGCGGAGACAAGAGGGCCGCCCTCAAGCAGCTGGCTCTGATGAAGGAACAGGAGCTGGAAGCCTCCAGGACAGGCTGGGAGAACAAGCTCAAGGACCTCCTACAAGAGGTACTCACCAGTTCTGAATTCTCTAAGATCCCTCGCTGTACAAGTAACCGATGGCCCTTTCCTTGCACTTTGGGCATCATGGTTGTAGCTTCAAGTCATTCTCTTGAAGTTTGACAAACATTTCTGACTGGCATTCGAGATTTGACTCAGAGTGGAATCTTTCTCACAAAAATTCTCAAAGGCATAGTCCTCCCCTTGTGCTAATCCTGAGGCAAGTCAGAAGTACATCTAGCACATCTTAAAGGTACTTGTGGCACTCGGACCCAGGAAATTCCAATCATACTTTATGCACAGTTGCTCACCATATCAAAGCGAATGCCTTAGTGCCAAGGATAGCTAAGACTGGATTTGATTCATCTTTCTGATAGCTTTCTGCTGCTGTTTTGGCTCGAGTTTGCTTGTCAGAAGCAGGCTGCATTAAAATCCAATCTTGGAGCAAGACTAAGTGCACAATACATGTATTTCTGTGTTAACCTCATCTCTTGCCATATTTCAGATGTCTCAGTTAAGGGAAGCCCTGCACAGCAAGGCAGAGCAGGCCCAGAAGGAGGTGGTGACCGTGCAGGGACTAGCTGACCAGAAACTGAACAAGCTCAAGTTTGAGATGGCCGCAGCGGCCGAGGAACACGCCAGGGCCTTGAGCCTGCTGAGAGCGGAGAAGGAGAAAGAAGTGGAACGGTTGAGACGAGAGAAAGATGCAGCGGTGCAGGTATGTGGGCAGTTGTTATCAGGTCATCACAAGTCATCACACGTCATCACAACTCAATCACAAGTCATCAAATGTCAATCACAAGTCATCATAAGTCAATCACAAGTCAAATCACAAGTCATCACAAGTCAACCACATGTCATCACAAGTCATCTAATGTCAATCACAAGTCATCATAAGTCAGTCACAAGTCAATCACAAGTCATCACAAGTCAATCAGAAGTCATCACAAGTCATCACAAGTCATCACAAGTCAATCACAAGTCAATCACAAGTTATCGTAAGTCATCACAAGTCAGCATAAGTCAATCACAAGTCAATCACAAGTCATCACAAGTCAATCACAGGTCATCACAAGTCATCACAAGTCATCACAAGTCATCTCAAGTCAATCACAAGTTTATCACAAGTCATACACAATCACAAGTCTTACACAATCTAAAGTCGTCACAAGTCATCGTAAGTCAATCATAAGTCATCACGTAAGTCTTGTGGCTTGAATTGTCATTTGACTTGTGACCTGGAGAGAGGCTTCAGGCTGATCCCCAAAGCTAAGTGTTAGGCCCAAAATTGTCAACCCCCTCTAAAAAAAAGAAGCCAAACATAGACCTCCCTTTTGACAAGTTAGCCAGTTTCAAAGCTAATTTGAAACAAAATAATTAATGATTTACCCACAGGAGTTAGAAGAACGACTGGCCCGTCAGCATAGAGAAGACATGGAGGAGCAGTTGAAATCCCACAGGGCGGAAATGGAGGCATTGCAGGAGGAGGCAGAGAGGTCCAGACAGAGTGGCTTGCACTCCAAATCCACAGAGCATAAACAGGCAATAGGTAAGATAAGGCACGACATTGGAATGAGATTGGAACTCCCAAATGGCTGAGAGGAATTCAACATTCAACCAGAAGGTCACAGTGGGCAACCCATCAGCCATTTTCTTTTCCTGTTGATGAAATCTCTCAGCCTATGACTTTTTGGTGTGTCACGGACAGTTACATCCATAGCTGTAACCACAAAACACCTGTTCAAGACACAGCCAAACACTAAATATTTTGATAGATTTTGTGCAATATATAAGGATGAGCAATTAATAAAAAATTACGCCGAATTAGAGAAATGACATTTGCATGACATTTGCAGAGAGAATGAAGTTGGAGTTGACCCAGCGTCACATCGCCGAGATGGACCAGCTATCCAGGGCTCATCGCACACAGATGGCAGCTGCTAAGATGGAACTAGAGAGATCCATAGAAATCAAACAGCAACAGGTCAGTTTCCCCCCGAGGCAAGAATTACAAGTTCCCAAACAATCCAGCAGTCTCTTTATAATCCCGGTGAGGTCCATGGCCAAACCATGAGCAAGTTCAGTTGAGGAACGTTGGTTGGTCGACTCATAGTTCATTTGTGACGTAACACACCTGCGCACTAATAGCCACATGCAAACGTCTCCATTCAAGCGATGGTCAAAATGTCATCAATCATAATTTGTAGAATGCAATTTGGCATCTGGAAGATGAAGAGTCAATATTTAGAGACTTTGAGATGTTTTATCATCTACTCTCACCTTATCTAGGAGAGAGACCACAAGTCGAGGGAGCAGGAGTTGAAGGAAGACGTGAGGCAGCGGGACAGACACATCGACAGCGTGGAGAAACAACTGGCTGAAGTCAACCAGGAGATCCATAAGCTGTCCAATCAGCTGGAGTTCAAAGGTCAAGAGGTGCTTAAGGTCAAGAGCGAGGCTGAGGAACAACTCAGGTCAGTCAGACCGGCGTTTTAGAGTTGGAGTAATTCAGTTTGATAGTTGGCAGACTTAGGAGCAGCTTTACTTGCTTATTTATTTGTTATCCCCAAATAAAACCATTGTGCGTGCAAGCCTGTAGTGTGTACTTGTTTTAATAAACGTATATGAATGTTGCTGCATCTTACAGTGATCACCACTATAAAAAAAATAAGAGATCTCTGAACTTATTATCTCTTCCGAACATGAAATGAAAATTTTCCAACCTTGGATCATTTGTCCTATTTTTAGGAGGCAAGAGCAGAGACTAGCCGAGGCTCATGATAGGGACATGGACACCCAGGCAGCAGAGCACCTAAGGGAAACCCAAAGCATGCTGGGAGAATTCAACCGGGCCCAGGAACTCCTGAAGGATAAGATATCCGCACTACAGATCATGTGAGTTGAATGATGCAAGAGAGATTTATGATACATCCTGACTTAAATTACAGACTTGTGATGGACTTATAATTTGACCGTAATACAAGTTGAACATGGATGCAATGTTACACTGTGAAGGAACTGTAGATGACCCCGATACCTTTTACTGCTTGGTCCATGGTGACTTGTGTCATAGCGAAAACCTTTAAAACTCAACACTCAAGCCTTAGGCTGAGTACAAATCACACGGCTACGGCTGGCATAACACACATGTCTATGGGAAATGATGCAGCCGCTTCCATAGTCGCATGAATAATTGCAAGCCATACCAATAAATTCAGACAGGGCCTCATTTCCACTCTCACATGCTTTTTTTTTTTCAGGTTGGAGGAGGCAGAGGACAGATATCAGAGTCGGGAATCCAGACCTGAGGATCTGGAGCACATTGCTCGCCTCAAAGAAACCTTGTCAGAGCACGAGGTCATCATGCAGAAACTTGTGGTACGTGGGGAACATTACTAAACAAACAAGGAGTCCGTTTGGAAAGATATTTGTTAACATGACAAAATAACGCTGTATGCAAGTAAAATTTGATGTTCACAATTTAGTTATACAGTGACCTAACCCATGGGGCTAGTAATAAAATTTGGGAAACCAATATTTGTTTTGACTGCGAAATTTTAATATGTCAGACAGTTATTTTAGCCACTTACACACTTTTCAACTGTTTTTTTTTCTTCTGCCTTCCGCAGGATGAGAAACGTTACTTCCAGTTGGAGCTCATCAACCGTGAGACCAATTTCAACAAAGTCTTCAACACCAACCCTAACGTTGGAGTGCTCAACCCTTTTGCCCACAAGGTAGCGGTATATTGCCTTTTATTTGAGTCGGGGTATTTAAAATGAGGCATTTTGTATTGTATTCATTCTATCCACTTATATAAGATGGAATTTTCCACCAGGTAGATGAAAAATCAATATTGGATAATTAATAATGGAGAACATAATTTCAAAAACAGTGTTGTCTGAAGTACTGGCGAGAAAAATTCACAAACTCACTCTGGTTGGACTCGAACCCACGACCTCCTGCTTACAAGTGCAGATGTTTTACCACTTAACCACCGAGCTTGCCAGGGTCGGCTGGCTGGTTCGAATCTGATATATCAGCAGGTACCACAACCAAACTATCTATAGGATAAAATTTGCATTTGAGAAATGCAACTCCAATATTGGGTTTTGCTCTTCATCAAGGTATTATAACACTGTATACTCGGTGTTGTGCAAGAGCTTGCTGAAAAAAAAATGCACAAGCATTCTCTGCTGGGGCTCAAACACACCACCTGCTTATTAGTGCAGACGTCTCACCACTCGACCCAGCTTGCAGGGGTTGTCTGGCATTTCCATAGACTTGTCAATCAGCACTTGGCATTTTGAAAGTTTATCCAGACTTTTTGTCTCTTTTCAACAGAAGAAGAAATCTATAGAAGTCACCAGGGAAGCCCCACGCTACGTCAGTGCTCCAAGCCTGAACACCATGGCCGTCAACGGGTCAGCCTCCAGTGGGGGTAGCCCTAGCCATCAACGTCTTGATCCACTCCCTGACTCGCCCATCCACGACATCCAGCTCAATCCTAAGAAACCCCTACAGATGCCTCGGCCTCCGAGGACCAAGAAGTTCATCAATACGTGATGGAGACGAGGCAAGTGTCTTTGTGGATTCAGTGCCCATCTCCCCATAACGGTGATAGAAAGAGACGTTACATTTTTTTTGCAAATTCAGATGAAATTTAGCCAGAGGAGCTTGGGCCTGAAAAATGTCCATACACCTGTCCACTGTGTCATCCGTTATAAGTTGCTACTGTTCCCTTTTTTGTATTGTGGAAAAGCTTTTGGGCAAGTCCAAGAATTTGGGTAGACTATGTCCAATACCTAACAAAAGGTTTATAACCCTCTACGATATTCATGGATTTCAGAGGTTTTATTTATTTCACTGGCGAACATCTGCAAGGAGAATACCCACCAGAATTTGTCTGTTGTCAGTCTTTGCGATGATAATGTAATGGAAGAAAACATGGCGTTACATATGGGAGAAAAAAGTGACCTTTTCTTGGACTTGCCCTTTTGATATGACTGCTGAAAATGCCTTTGAGAAAAATACAATAACGCTTTGTAATTGTTTTGTTTGGCAGGATATGTAGTTTATGAATTATGTAAATCTGCAGTTGCGATCTATAGAATCAAGTGCAGTTGCTGTATCATCCGTCCTATAAGTTATGCACGATATTTGTACATCTTTGTATTTTTGTTTGTAATATCTTCCAGTGTAATAACACATTAAGCCATGAATTTATAATTTGTTTGTTCAGATTCTAAACCAAAAATGTATTATCCCACTTACTAATAGCAATTTTTTAATTATATATATTGAATTTGTACATTTTATATCCGTAAGCATTTGTAACATCAATGTAAAAACTATTATCTGTACAGTTGTCATATATTCCTGATTGTACTATTACTTAGAATTTAATGTATATAAATGTGAACTAATTTTACGTATTCAAGTAGAAACTAAACTCTATGATCACCAAGATGTTGTAGAAAAATCAGGTTTATTGCTATTCACAAATATTACAATATGCATGATTCTTTTGCAGTAAAAGCTTTGAGTATTTGAAGCATGTCAAGTTGGCAACCATCAGTGTCTAGTCCCTTGCGTTCATGGTGTATATCCCAATATAAGGTCAACTCTTGTCGGGAGCACCAGTCTTTCAGTTTTAGCCTTATTCTGGACCAGATAAAAGTCCTAAAAGATGGTTGCTCCATGTCAAAGGTCACAGAGTTCATGACACTTTTTTCTCCGTCTGCCTTATTACCATATCAAGCTGAACTCGTCCGTCCAAATTTTGTGCTAATAACTATGAATTATGACATGCGTCTTTGTTTCCCACCAAAATGTATGGTATTGCTGAAGTTTGGAAATAAAAAGACTTTCCGTCCATTTGCTGTGGCAAACCAACTAACTCATGGTTTTTTCTGTATATTTTATTTTTAGCACCCGCTCATGGATGCATCTTTTAATATTCAAGCAAATTTTGTTTCCCATTGTTTTTGGCAAAAAATTGAGAAATGACTATAACCGGGCGGTTATATTTTAATTCAGTGATTTTTTTTCTCAATCAATAATGCACTTAACAATGATCTAATTTCATGATCAAAAATGTAATTTCTTTTTTTCTAAAATCGATATTATTTGCCCCAATGTTAAAAATCTTGAGTTTTTGAATATAAATTGATGCTCCTCTTGCATCCAAAGGAATTCCTGCCTTGTTTGGGGAAGTCGACTTTTTTGGCCAAATCTAAATGTAAGGTTAACCCAATTTTTTTAATTTTGGCCAAAAAATTAAATTGCGCCAAACTTCCAGGAAAGCTGATGCCTAAGAGACCCTAGAAGACATTCCAACTTGATTTCTGGGCTGATAAATAATGGTGAAAATCGGTGAAAAATATGAATTTTTTTTCTCAATTAATCGATTATTTGTGCCCAAATCTTCGAAATAATGGCAGTCTGAATATTGTATGATACTCTCCTTGCATCAAAAGTCATTTCTGCGTCGTTTGGAGAAAAGTCATTTTTTGGCCAAATTTGATGAAAAATGTAAGGCTAACCCCTTGCATTTTTTTCAATTTTGGCCAAAAAATTAAATTGCGCCAAACTTCCAGGAAAGATGCCTAAGAGACTCTAGAAGACATTCCAACTCGATTTGTGGACTGATGTGCCGTTATACAGGAACAATGCATCGAAAATTTGGGTAAAAATCAGTGAAAAATATGATTTTTTTTCTCAATAAATCGATTATTTCTGCCCAAATCTTCGAAATAATGGCAGTCTGAATATTGTATGATACTCTCCTTGCATCAAAAGTCATTTCTGCGTCGTTAGGAGAAAAGTCATTTTTGGGCCAAATTTGATGAAAAATGTAAGGCTAACCCCTTACATTTTTTTCAATTTTGGCCAAAAAATAGATTGCGCCAAACTTCCAGGAAAGATGCCTAAGAGACTCTAGAAGACATTCCAGCTCGATTTGTGGACTGATGTGCCGTTATACAGGAACAATGCATCTAAAATTTGGGTAAAAATCAGTGAAAAATATGATTTTTTTCTCAATAAATCGATTATTTCTGCCCAAATCTTCGAAATAATGGCAGTCTGAATATTGTATTCTACTCTCCTTGCATCAAAGGTCATTTCTGCGTCGTTTGGAGAAAAGTAATTTTTTGGCCAAATTTGATGAAAAATGTAAGGCTAACTAACCCTTTACATTTTTTTCAATTTTGGCCAAAAAATTAAATTGCGCCAAACTTCCAGGAAAGATGCCTAAGAGACTCTAGAAGACATTCCAGCTCGATTTGTGGACTGATGTGCCGTTATACAGGAACAATGCATCGAAAATTTGGGTAAAAATCATTGAAAAATATGATTTTTTTCTCAATAAATCGATTATTTCTGCCCAAATCTTCGAAATAATGGCAGTCTGAATATTGTATGATACTCTCCTTGCATCAAAAGTCATTTCTGCGTCGTTAGGAGAAAAGTCATTTTTTGGCCACATTTGATGAAAAATGTAAGGCTAACCCCTTGCATTTTTTTCAATTTTGGCCAAAAAATTTAATTGCGCCAAACTTCCAGGAAAGATGCCTAAGAGACTCTAGAAGACATTCCAGCTCGATTTGTGGACTGATGTGCCGTTATACAGGAACAATGCATCGAAAATTTGGGTAAAAATCATTGAAAAATATGAATTTTTTTCTCAATAAATCGATTATTTCTGCCCAAATCTTCGAAATAATGGCAGTCTGAATATTGTATGATACTCTCCTTGCATCAAAAGTCATTTCTGCGTCGTTAGGAGAAAAGTCATTTTTTGGCCAAATTTGATGAAAAATGTAAGGCTTACCCCTTACATTTTTTTCAATTTTGGCCAAAAAATTAAATTGCGCCAAACTTCCAGGAAAGATGCCTAAGAGACTCTAGAAGACATTCCAGCTCGATTTGTGGACTGATGTGCCGTTATACAGGAACAATGCATCGAAAATTTGGGTAAAAATCAGTGAAAAATATGATTTTTTTCTCAATAAATCGATTATTTCTGCCCAAATCTTCGAAATAATGGCAGTCTGAATATTGTATTCTACTCTCCTTGCATCAAAGGTCATTTCTGCGTCGTTTGGAGAAAAGTAATTTTTTGGCCAAATTTGATGAAAAATGTAAGGCTAACCCCTTACATTTTTTTCAATTTTGGCCAAAAAATTAAATTGCGCCAAACTTCCAGGAAAGATGCCTAAGAGACTCTAGAAGACATTCCAGCTCGATTTGTGGACTGATGTGCCGTTATACAGGAACAATGCATCGAAAATTTGGGTAAAAATCAGTGAAAAACATGATTTTTTTCTCAATAAATCGATTATTTCTGCCCAAATCTTCGAAATAATGGCAGTCTGAATATTGTATGATACTCTCCTTGCATCAAAAGTCATTTCTGCGTCGTTAGGAGAAAAGTCATTTTTTGGCCAAATTTGATGAAAAATGTAAGGCTAACCCCTTGCATTTTTTTCAATTTTGGCCAAAAAAATAAATTGCGCCAAACTTCCAGGAAAGATGCCTAAGAGACTCTAGAAGACATTCCAGCTCGATTTGTGGACTGATGTGCCGTTATACAGGAACAATGCATCGAAAATTTGGGTAAAAATCATTGAAAAATATGATTTTTTCTCAATAAATCGATTATTTCTGCCCAAATCTTCGAAATAATGGCAGTCTGAATATTGTATTCTACTCTCCTTGCATCAAAGGTCATTTCTGCGTCGTTTGGAGAAAAGTAATTTTTTGTCCAAATTTGATGAAAAATGTAAGGCTAACCCCTTGCATTTTTTTCAATTTTGGCCAAAAAATTAAATTGCGCCAAACTTCCAGGAAAGATGCCTAAGAGACTCTAGAAGACATTCCAGCTCGATTTGTGGACTGATGTGCCGTTATACAGGAACAATGCATCGAAAATTTGGGTAAAAATCATTGAAAAACATGATTTTTTCCTCAATAAATCGATTATTTCTGCCCAAATCTTCGAAATAATGGCAGTCTGAATATTGTATGATACTCTCCTTGCATCAAAAGTCATTTCTGCGTCGTTCGGAAAAAAGTCATTTTTTGGCCAAATTTGATGAAAAATGTAAGGCTTACCCCTTACATTTTTTTCAATTTTGGCCAAAAAATTAAATTGCGCCAAACTTCCAGGAAAGATGCCTAAGAGACTCTAGAAGACATTCCAGCTCGATTTGTGGACTGATGTGCCGTTATACAGGAACAATGCATCGAAAATTTGGGTAAAAATCAGTGAAAAATATGATTTTTTTTCTCAATAAATCGATTATTTCTGCCCAAATCTTCGAAATAATGGCAGTCTGAATATTGTATGATACTCTCCTTGCATCAAAAGTCATTTCTGCGTCGTTAGGAGAAAAGTCATTTTTGGGCCAAATTTGATGAAAAATGTAAGGCTAACCCCTTACATTTTTTTCAATTTTGGCCAAAAAATAGATTGCGCCAAACTTCCAGGAAAGATGCCTAAGAGACTCTAGAAGACATTCCAGCTCGATTTGTGGACTGATGTGCCGTTATACAGGAACAATGCATCGAAAATTTGGGTAAAAATCATTGAAAAACATGATTTTTTTCCTCAATAAATCGATTATTTCTGCCCAAATCTTCGAAATAATGGCAGTCTGAATATTGTATGATACTCTCCTTGCATCAAAAGTCATTCCTGCGTCGTTCGGAAAAAAGTCATTTTTTGGCCAAATTTGATGAAAAATGTAAGGCTTACCCCTTACATTTTTTTCAATTTTGGCCAAAAAATTAAATTGCGCCAAACTTCCAGGAAAGATGCCTAAGAGACTCTAGAAGACATTCCAGCTCGATTTGTGGACTGATGTGCCGTTATACAGGAACAATGCATCGAAAATTTGGGTAAAAATCATTGAAAAATATGATTTTTTTTTCAATAAATCGATTATTTCTGCCCAAATCTTCGAAATAATGGCAGTCTGAATATTGTATGATACTCTCCTTGCATCAAAAGTCATTTCTGCGTCGTTAGGAGAAAAGTCATTTTTTGGCCAAATTTGATGAAAAATGTAAGGCTAACCCCTTGCATTTTTTTCAATTTTGGCCAAAAAAATAAATTGCGCCAAACTTCCAGGAAAGATGCCTAAGAGACTCTAGAAGACATTCCAGCTCGATTTGTGGACTGATGTGCCGTTATACAGGAACAATGCATCGAAAATTTGGGTAAAAATCAGTGAAAAATATGATTTTTTTCTCAATAAATCGATTATTTCTGCCCAAATCTTCGAAATAATGGCAGTCTGAATATTGTATTCTACTCTCCTTGCATCAAAGGTCATTTCTGCGTCGTTTGGAGAAAAGTAATTTTTTGTCCAAATTTGATGAAAAATGTAAGGCTAACCCCTTGCATTTTTTTCAATTTTGGCCAAAAAATTAAATTGCGCCAAACTTCCAGGAAAGATGCCTAAGAGACTCTAGAAGACATTCCAGCTCGATTTGTGGACTGATGTGCCGTTATACAGGAACAATGCATCGAAAATTTGGGTAAAAATCAGTGAAAAACATGATTTTTTTCTCAATAAATCGATTATTTCTGCCCAAATCTTCGAAATAATGGCAGTCTGAATATTGTATGATACTCTCCTTGCATCAAAAGTCATTTTTGCGTCGTTAGGAGAAAAGTCATTTTTTGGCCAAATTTGATGAAAAATGTGAGGCTAACCCCTTGCATTTTTTTCAATTTTGGCCAAAAAAATAAATTGCGCCAAACTTCCAGGAAAGATGCCTAAGAGACTCTAGAAGACATTCCAGCTCGATTTGTGGACTGATGTGCCGTTATACAGGAACAATGCATCGAAAATTTGGGTAAAAATCAGTGAAAAATATGATTTTTTTCTC